GCACGCCAGTGCCGCAGCGCGAACACACGATGCCGGTCGAGGCGTACGAGGCGGTGATCGAGCTGACGGGGCAGCTGGCCGAGGTGACGGGGGACCTCGACGAGTGCACACAGCTTGCATTATCTCTTTACGACCAGCTCGCTGCCGAGGTGACGCGCCACAAGCTCGCCGAGGCGGCCGCCTGCAAGCACGCCGACGCGTGCGAGCGCGAGGCCAACAAGGGCGCCAAGGCGGCCATCAAGGAGGCACGGGAGGAGCGCCGCGAGCTCGTCGTCGCGGCGCGGGAGCAGCAGGGCATTGCTGAGAGGGAGAAGGTGCACTCCGACCGCGAGCCCGCCGCCTTGCGGAGCGAGATGCGCAAGCTCGAGGCAGCGCACGACAAGGCCCTGGCAGAGCAGGTAACAGAGAGCGCGCGCATGCTCGCGCGCCAGTTGCGCGAGATCAACGTACTCACGCGCGAGCGGGACGACTTAGAGGTCAAGTTCGCCGACGCGTGCGCGAAGCTGCTCGTGGCCAAATACAAGGCCTCTACTGCCACGACGGTGGCTGAGGCTGCGACCCGCGTCACCACCCAATTGACGCGGCGGCTCGTGATCGAGGAGCGCAAAGCTGCTGCCAATGCTCTACAGGCTGAGAGCGCCGACAAGTGCGCAGCTAAGCTGGCAACGCAGCTCGAGGTGTGCGCGAAGCTCGGCCGCGTCGACGCAGCGCGCACGATCGCCGGCCTGGAGCACAGGCTCGCTGCGGCGGAGAGCGCGCTGGCCTCGAGCAAGTCGTCGGCCAAGCTGCTGAAGACGGAGAGCAACCTGCACGACAAGCAGGCGCGGCAGAGTAACCTTGGCCGGGGTGCCGTCGAGAAGGAGCTCGCGCGCTGCCAGCTCGAGGGCGGATACCGTTCACCTCTCCTCGAGGCCCTCCGAGAGGTGCACGCCAAGGAGCGGGCGGCGCTTAGCTCGCAGCTGGCCGAGATCGCCTCCGAGCTCGCGGCCGTGCGGGAGGAGCGCGACGGCTTAGCGCGCATCGTCAGGCCGACGAAGCGCGACCTCAAGCCTAAGGGCCAGTGGGGTGCGTGATCCCCGCCCGACCCCACCGCGCCG